AGACCAGAGCTAAAATACAGGGACATGTATTTGTAGTGACTCCTGAGGTACAAAAACCCCATGCAAACATGCAGATTTATATAGTCACAATAAGAAAACATGACACATATTATTGTTAGTTAGTCTACAAAACAAAACAAAAAAAGCAAACAAAAAAAAGAACAACAACAACATCATTTGGTTTGACTTTAAAACCATCATCAGGGGCAGGTAGCAGTGTCAGGACACAGCAGCTAATACATACCAAGAGTGTACATGGATTGCTCAGGTGCATCAATGAGGCTAATCATGTCACAGTCCTAAACTGTGGATGATTTCAAATATCTGATATTATGAAACTTCTTGTTCAATTGGATTTAATATTCATTTGTGTTTTTTTTCTGTAGCAATTTCATTACCACCCACTATTTGTTATTTTGTTCCAGCTATCAGAGCTCCCCCATTGCCTTTGTGGTTTGCACTGTGGGAGAAAAGTATCCAGCATACTCAAAAATTAACTGCATTGAGTATGCATTCCATCTGGTTTGAGTATTCCTTATTTAGTCACTTTTCAGTGTGAAAGCACCCACTAAAAACCTGCTTAGTATGAAGTATTAATTTGGGACACACCTACAGCCATGCTAGTAGGCAGATGAGCCAGGCCTGTGCAGAAATTGATCACCTTTAATCGAGGCACAATGCATGCTGGTTAGATTTGTGTCCAACTTCATCCCGACTTTCTCTGGCCTCATGCAAAAGTGGAAAACAATATTCTTACGACATCAAGTAAGTTTCAGTTATAGAGCCAGGCATTGCAGTTGCTCTCTACTGACTGCAAGACCTAGAGCATGATGGGAAAAGCCTGGCTCTCATCTGATCTAACAGCTGATTGGTTTAGATGTTGACTCAACAATACGATGTCTTATACTAAGTTTTCATTTTTGTTGAATTAGAGAAACCCTTGGATGACACCATCACTCCCACTAATAGTCTCAAGTTCGTGCAACAACAAGGGATTGTATCACCTAGTGAAGCAGAAGTGAAGCAATGGTGATATCTGACTGATCTTTAATGTCAGCTGTTAATTTATTAGCAGTTTCTTTCCTCTGTGTTTGACTATCAGTGTTGTCAGTTTATTTAAGTAGTTTAAATGAGGGCAGGTCTACTCAGATTGATTTGATTTCATCTATATACAGCAGCAAACTGATATGATGCTAATTTACATGAACAATCTTGTTAGAGGTTACAGATTGCCTGTAAAGCATTTTAATAGGCTACTCTGTCATATTTAAAGCAATTGAAGACTGTGAACAAACTGATATATGGGTCTGATAACATATTTGCCTTCAGAACTGCCTTAATTCTTGTTGTCATAGATTCAACAAAGTGCTGGAGACATTCTTCAGAGATTTTGGTTCATATGCACATGATAGCATCACGCGGTTACTGCAGATTTGTCAGCTGCAAATCCATAATGCAAATCTCCTGTTCCACCACATCCCAAAGGTGCTCTATTGGATTGAGATCTGGTGACTGTGGAGGCCATTGGAGTACAGTGAACTCATTGTCATGTTCAAGAAGCCAGTTTGAGATGATTTGAGCTTTGTGACATGGTGCGTTATCCTGCTGCCAACAATACTCAGGCAGGCTGTGGTGTTTAAATGATGCTCGGTGGTACTAAGGGGCCCAAAGTGTGCCAAGAAAATATCCCCCACACCATTACACCACCACCAGCCTGAACCATTGATACAAGGCAGGATGGATCCAGGTTTTCATGTTGTTTACGCCAAATTCTGACCCTACCATCTGAATGTCACAGTAGAAATCGAGACTCATCAGACCAGGCAATGTTTTTCCAATCTTCTATTGTCCAGTTTTGGTGTACCTGTGTGAATTGTAGCCTCAGTTTCCTGTTGTTAGCTGACAGGAGTGGCCCCTGGTGTGGTCTTCTGCTGCTGTAGCCCATCTGCTTCAAGATTCAATGTGTTGTTGGTTCAGAGATGGTCTTCTTCAGACCTTGGTTGTAACTAGGGGTTATCTGAGTTCCATCTTGAATCAGTCTGGCCATTCTCCTCTGACCTCTGGCATCAGTGAAGCATTTTCACCCAGAGAATTGCTGCTCACTGGATATCTTCTCTTTTTCAGCCATCGTCTGTAAACCCTAGAGATGGTTGTGTGTGAAAGACCCAGTAGATCAGCAGTTTCTGAAATACTACCAGCCCGTACCAGCCCGTCGGGCACCAACAACCATGCCAGTTTCAAAGCAACTTAAATCACCTTTCATTCTGATACTTGGTTTGAACTTCAGCAGGTCGTCTTGACCATGTCTTCATGCCTAAATGCATTGAGTTGCTGCCACGTGAATAGCTATTTGCGTTACAGACCAGTTGCACAGGTGTAACTAATAAAGTTGCCTGTGAGTGTACAGTATACTGGGCACTAATAAGATCCACTGTTGATTTTGTTAGTATAGCAATGGAAAAGCATGTCAGACAATTCTACAAAGTCTGAACAGCATTCAAACCAGAGTATTAAGACTATATTTAGAGACTATGAGAACAACTCCATTAAATGCTCTGTTAGTAGAAGCTGGTGAGTTGTTAGTAGTAGCTGGTGAGTTAGCATTACATCTTAGACATGAGAAATTATCAGTAGCATATTGGGTTGGATTTAAGTAATATGAAAGGGAACACCCCACCTCTGAGGTTTTAATTGAATGTTGGGAGTATACCAGGGTTAATGATAGAGGTTTTGGATGAAATATAGAGAAGACTGTGGAAAAGATGGGATTGAAAGAGTTAAATTACAGTCTGTATTTTGCTTTTAGTAGTGTTCCCCCATGGATTCTCGCAGAGCTGTATGTTTAATTTACAGCTTTATGTTTAAAGACAATTCTATGGATTTTTGATGAAATATACAGATGATTGAAAGAATAATGATGATGGGCTCGAGGGAATTGCTACACATTTCTATCAGAATTTAATGTTAATATCCTGACAGATAAATTGTCAATATTCTCAGCAGATATCATTGCAATCATAATGGACCTTCAGTGGGTAGAGCAAGTACAGCCATAAAAAAACAGTCATTTGCTCAGACATAGCAGCAGCTCTCAAAGGTTTGTCATCAAGGCAAATGGCCAGAGGAGATCTCATAACAGAATGAACATTTTATTTCTAAGATTACAGTGGGTGGGTATAGAAGAGCATTTTCATTGGGTCCCTGCTCCTATGGGTGTTAAAGGTAAGTCCCTCAAAATATATGACTACAGAATACAGAATAATAAAAGTAGCTTGTAGGAGGAGAGAGGTGAAATCATTGATAAGGGCAGCAATAACTAGAATTAACCACCTTGAGGTTGTATGCCTCTGTGAACCTGTCAAATTGCAGTTTACATCCATATCTGTCCAGACTCATTTGTAGCCATGCCACTAGACACTGCTTCAAATATGAATCATGCTGCAAGTGTTTTTAAAGAACATCATGATGTCACAGTGGAGTTGACCTTTAGCCTTCTGGATTTAAAATATCTTTACTTCATCATTTTATCCTATTTTAGTCATAATTAGCATATGAATTCTTGAGTTATGGCCAAAACATGTTTACTGTGGTCACAGTAACCTTTGACCTCCAAAATGTAATCAGTTCATTCTTGTGTCCGAGTAGACTTTTGTGCCAAATTTGAAGAAAGGCATTCCTGAGGTGTTGCGTTCACAAGAATGAGAAGGACACAAGGTTACAATGACCTTGACCTTTGACCACCAAAATCTAATCAGTTCATCGTTGAGTCCAAGTGAATGTTTGTGCCAAATTTGAAGAAATTACCTCAAGGTATTCTTGAGATATCCAGTTTGTGAGAATGGGACAGACCAGGTGACAGTGACCTTGACCTTCGACCGCAAAAATGTTAACATTTCACCCTTGAGTCTAAGTGGACATTTGTGCCAAATCTGAAAGAAATTTCTGGTGTTCATGAGAATGAGACTGACAGATGGACAAACAACCCGAAATCATAATGCCTCCAGCCACAGCTATCACTGGCACGAATGGGATACAGATAGTAAAGGGAGACATTATTATTTACAAAAGTCAGTTCAAGTTAAAAACCTTAAAGGCAGTATCATAACTGCAGAAGTGAGGTAATCACACCACAATTAAGACTCAGGCATGCAGGTTTTCAATCCATGTTATTTATTATGGGGAAAGATTAATCACATCTGTTTCAGTAGTACACTCTGGAAGATGTAGAATACATTATCATGGGTTGTTACATTTCAAACGGAATTGTACCACTATGATTTGAGGCAATTTACAGAGGGAGGTTGCCAAAAAGTTTTGTATGGCTGCTTGGCTTATGCACTTTTGATTTGCCACTACATCACTGACTAGATAACACTGATGGATACTGTGGTTTTGAAGCCTTTATTCAGTTGGTGTGATTGAAATGCAGATGTCTGACAGTTTAACGGAGCAACTAAGTTAATGTAGAAAAGTCTTGATATCTTTGAAGCATGTGTGAATGAAGTGAAAGGAGCAGCAGCTGGAGTACATCTGGGAACCTGTTTTTCTCCAGTCAGCTGAGACAGAAGCAAAGTCACAGCACTGAAAAGTGATTGAAGCTCATTGTACTTTATGTAGATTATGTGAATGGCAGCCTGAATTAGTCTGCTGAAATAGTCTGCTGTACATTACATTATTACTCTGCACTCTGCTGATATGACAGTGTCCTATCCAGAACATCTGACAGATACCTAACCCTGTTTGGGATTGTCTCTGACAAAAAGGCAGTGTGCAGCCATACTTACACAACAGGAAGACATCAGACAAACTATCAACTAATGAATGATGGACACACAAAACAGGCATCAAGTTTTGAAGATGTTGCAAGGATGGCTGCATTAATAAGGCACAAAGGCAGAATACCATAGACAGTCTGACAAACTGGTCTCTAACTCCTCAAATACCATCTTGTGTGTGTGTGTGTGTGTGTGTGTGTGTAAAGCAGGAAGATGTTCACTTACGGAGAACAAGAACTCCATGTCGAAGGGACTGAGCACGGTTGGGCTCCACAGTGACATTCAGCATGGTGGGATTTCCCCCAATGATGCAGACACGGTTTTCTTGCTCTGCTTCGCGGAACATTCGCAGCAGCTGATTGGCTATGACCCCGTTCAGTGCAGATATGGCCACCATGGGTATCACAAAGGACAGAAATGCATTAATCTGTTCAGGAAGGAAGGTGGAGAAGGAAAAGGAGAAGGCCGTAAACACTGGTTAGAATTTCATTTCACTCTGGTGAAAGTCAGGTAAAACGTGTAACATCAAAACACACATCAGCACACATCAAAACGATAAACTGTAATACCCCAGAAGAAGAAAAGTTGTAATTTAAACCAGATTGCTTGCATTTGTACTCCAGAAGAAAACATTGTACCACTACATTTACGCTGTAAATTATTTGACTGTACATTTACAGTAAATTACTGGCTACTAGTTGCATTACTTTAACAGTAAATTACTGTGTCATTTTTGCAATAAATTGCTGGGAAATGACAGCTGTACACTGTGATCTCAAAGTACTTATGCCCACATATTACTGTGATTTAGCAGTATGCTCCTGTAAAATTACTATATTTAACTGTAACCTCACAGTTAAAGCCAATTACATTACAAAGCACTAGTTGGTGGTGGGGTGAAGTGAAGTACTGTGAAGTGCTTTAAAGTTTAGTTGATTCAAAACACACATTAAACATGGCTTATTAGAGACAATGTCAAACACAAGTACACAAAATTGGCTTCACTATAACTCGCATGATTCACAGACAAAGAACTTGTCTTTTGCTGGACATTTTCCCCACAAATACAACATGCTAATGTTATTAGTATGAGCCTATGGCATTTTACACAGTATAAATTAGCCTAGCAGCTAGCGGAGATTTCCTCTACTCATATGAAGCCAGGGACAACAGCACCTTTTAACAAAAGTAATGTTACAAAAATTCAGCTCCTTTATAGCTCACATGGTTCACTGACAAAACAACTGGCTTATCCTAAACAGGTTTTTGAAACAAATACAACATGCTAACATTATTAGCACTAGCCTATGGCATTTTACATTGTATAAACTAGCCTAGCAACTAGTGGAGATCTCCTCTACCCATATGAAGCCAGGATAAATCACACACAATACTTAAAATGCTATTTTGTGGGGGTTTGATGATCTTCACAATTTATTGTGTCTTTATCTGTGAAATAAAAGTAAATTAAAGCTTTGTTTCCACTGAGGGAAATGGTTTTCAGCTTACAAAAAATGAGGTCTGCGTCACAGTCACTAATTCTATTAAAGAAAAAAGTTTGGACCTGGGCTACTTCTTCTACAGCTGCCTATATCCTACCAACATTCTCAATTAGAGAAAGGATGAAAATGAAGCAAGGCAATTTGTCGAGGCTCCAGGCCCCAAAAACATTAAATCCTTCCAGTATTTGTGCCACTAAATATGGGTGTTTTAAGCCAAAACATGATCTTCTCCTAACTAGAAACCTAACCTCACATAAACCAAAGCATTGTTGATAACTGTAACATATCTGTGGTTTACTGAAATGTACAATGCAAACATTTTTTTCTAGCAATTGGATTTTCTAATGTTATCTGCAGGGACTGTGTATTTTCAGATAAAGGGGACAGTGAGAGATGTTGGTTGGTCACTAGTGTTAAATGAGTATTCTTTAGGACCATAAGCTATAAGGTGCACCGTTTATGTTTTTATCTAAAGATTAAGCCATAGTAATTAATGCATAATTTTAATACATAAGCCTATTGTTTCTTTCATTTTAATCCTGCCTCCACCCTCCTCTTATAGGAAGACAACTTTATTTATGCCCTATCATATCTAATTATTATCTTTTCTAAAAATACATGGAAACTGGTATATAAAATATTAGCCACCTGCCTTCATCCAGTGTAGTTTTCCAGTCTACTAACAGTCCTCTTTTCTTTTAATCTGTGAAACTATGATGTAATTTGCTCATCAATGTCTTTTCAATTTTTATTCATGTTTTGTGTAATTTCCTCTGTTTCCAGAAGTCTGTGACTTGAAATATGCTCCCCACGATGACATCAGTCTGGGGACTACTCATTAATCCAATGGCCAAAAAATTTCAAAGCCTCGTTAGTTTGAAAAATGTCCCACTGGCCCAAAAGCCCATCTCCCTGACAACTCATTATCCCAAAAACAAACGCCTTTGCTCTGATGTCCTCTTTGTCCGCAAATAAGCAATCCCTGCAGTTAACATTAGAAAATCCAATTGCCAGAAAAAATATTTGCATTGTACATTTCAGTAAACCACACATATGTTACAGTTATAAACAATTCTGAGTGATGATGAATGTGAGGTCAGGTTTCTGGTTAGGAGAAGATTGTGTTCTGGCTTAAAACACCCATGTTTAGTGGCACAAATACTGCAGGAAAAGCATGGATGGGTCGGTGAATAACACTCCAGTCCGGTTGCTCAGATGCCACTGGGAAACTGGTACTAACTGCAGGGAGTGTGTATTTTATGGAGCGACAGGATCCAACTGGACATTTTTGGACCATTGTGACTTAAGAATTTTGAGGTGTTCGTACAATGGTGTGGCACCACCAGTCTTCTGTTTCTTTGCACACAGAATGCCTAACAAATTCATCCATATCTGGCTCAGTTGTTACCTTCTACATGCCTTCTCATGAGCCAGCCAAGTTTCTGTGTTGATCATGTAACATATAACTTGATGGGGGTTAGGACACAGGACAAAGTGGAGAAAGAGCTCTTGCAGGCTGCAGATGATAATCAGTAGTGCAGTTACATAGAGAAGACTGAGCACAGGAGAGGCTTCTTTAACCTCTTGGAGGTGTCTGCAAATGGTGGAAAGGTCTGTTACAGCAAAGGTGAACTCCTTTTGCTTACTTGACCTTTGCAACAAAAAAATCATTAGAAAGGCTATCACTGCAGGCAGTACCTGCTGGCCTCTGCAGGGGGGCTCAACAGGGCAACATCTAGTAAAGAGGCAGATTGAGGGAGAAGGCAATTCACTGCCTTCGTGAGATCAAGATTGCCTCTGGGGACCCTGGTCTCCAGCTACACGGTGGCTCTATCCAGAATATTGAGAAGAGTCTCAGAGGTATTGGTGTGGCCCACAGTAGATAGAACAGGTTACAGCCTGTGAGTTCTGAGCTCATCATCAAATCAAATCAAACTTTATTTGAATAGCACTTTTCATACATTAAAATGCAGCACAAAGTGCTTCACAGAATAAAAACATACAACAAAAATATTACATGCATATTGAAAACCCGTCCATTCCACCCCCACATATAAACACATACACACACACACACACACACACACACACACACACACACACACACACACACACACACAGTCAATATAGTCAATATAGTAACATGGCTTTCAGTGGGTTTTTTGTTTTAGATGCTAGAGTAGGGTTGTTCATCATAAAATTAGTCAATTAGTCATTCATCCATTTTTACAGGAAAAGATTAAAAGTAACATAATAAAGATCAGTCACAATTAATCAGGCCTGACTCAGTTAATCCACTGCCACTTTTGTGACACATTATGACAATGGAGTGCAGTGGCTCTTGCACATGGCTCTGCTTGCATTGCAGGGACCACCGGTGATTGTAGGAATGAATATAGAGAAAATCTACTCTCCTCTTTTTGAAACAAGACCAGGACCCCCCACTGCATTGTAGTATTGACTGATGATTTGGTCTGTGCTGTAGCTTGAGTCAGAAAGATGTTTTGGAATTTGGGTGGTGATAAATTCTGCATTCAGCTGACTCAGATCAAGCAGTCCAATCAGGTTTTCCTCAGGAATACCATCACACACAAACCCAATCATGACTGACATTGCATTCCGCATTGCATTCCACTCCAGTTCCATCACCTTTAATACTAAAACCTACATGATCTGCATTATTGTATTTCTTTTTGATCTCATGTAATACTTAATTAAATAGCGTGTGATATTTTTTTTTTAGAATTATTTTGCATTTTTAGGAATACTTTTCATTCAGTTTGGGGTCCTTCACTAGTGTGTATTCATTAAGTTGTAGGAAGAGGCTAGCAGGGAAATCCTGGTCATCATCATCATGCTCTTTTCAGGCTGCCACAAAGAGGAAACTCATTCATCACAAAGAACTTTCCTAGGCCTGCTCCTCATATGCTTTTGACATAATATCTATTTTTTCTAACTGGGTGGACCCCACAAGGTTTGCAGGGTTTCCCCAGCTTCCTCCCTTTGTTGCATTTGAGACCAGGTTACAGCAGTGGTGTTGCTGAGGAAAAACAAGGGTGGTGTTCTGAGACGATGCAACACTGTTCAAGCCATGGCAATTATCAGTCAACGCAGCAACTCAATTACTGCCTGGGGGCGAGGTGCTTGGTGTAATGAGATCATGGGCTGTAGTGCTTAGGCAACTGGGCTTTAAGGCATCTGCTTTCGAAGTACTAGGTGAAGAAGCAGGTGCATCAGACAGCAGAACTTACCGTTATTGACTGCTGAAATCCTTGCATGAAGACAGAGAGACAAAGAGTGGGAAAGAAAGCAAAGCCTGGCAAGAAAAACACCAAAATCAGGGGAAAGTCTCTGGAGAGGATAGAAACCATAGACTAGTTATTCAGTGGCACACGACGCCAAAAAAGTTTGACTTTCCAGTTGAAAAATTACATGGATCTTCTGCATCACTGTGCCCATAGAACACGCGAACTAGAGACACCGCCATCCAGGCACGCTACTTCCAGATTATCCCTCCCTGAATTGGATCGGATCAAATTATTTAACGGTGCTGTAATGTTTTTGAACTGAATCAAATTCTAAAATAAGTCATTTTGTGGGGGTTGTGACACTTAAAAAAACAATCTACTGATTTACAGATGTCTCTTTCCCAAAGTAAGGCTAAAAGTCTTTTTGGGCCCAATGGCATCACATGACAGACCCAGGAGTTATAGTAACCATGGCTTTATTAAGATATGTCCAAAGTCTGGTCCAGGGGCCAACTGTGGCCCGCAGGCTTATTTTAAATGGCCCACTGCTTGTCTTTCTATACTATATGTGGCCCACTACAGAATATCTTGGTTAACCAATTAAGTTCACTTTGATTTTTCTGAGTTCACTTTATGATGACAGGACTATCACGCAGTTTGTGGACACGCACCAAGTG